GGAAAGAGATTACAAAAATGGCTTGCAACAACTCCAACTTTAATGTCTGAACAGAATATAGAATGTTAAACTGAAGCAGCCGTTTTAGCAGTTTTTATTACCAAATATTGTGTTTATTACAGTGTAAGCCGTTTACATATGCCTTACTTGTGGAAGAGTTACAAATTTCATTATCTGGAAAAAGAAAAAGAAAAGGATTATAACATTAATTCATACATAAAATACAGTTGCCTGTCGTTAAAAATACGTCCATGAAGAATCAAATGATAGCAGAAAAAGAATCATAGGATCATAGAATACCAGGTTGGAAGGGACCACAAGAATCATCTAGCCCAACCTCAAAAAAGTGAGTTGTGACTTCTCTTCAGTCTTTTTTGCCACTCTGTTGTCTTATCTCGTTCTTGTACTGTTTTTGCCTTGCTCTTCTGGAAATGAATCAGGAGTATGGCTGAAACCAGATTATCTGTTACAGGACTGCAGTCTCCTACAAGGTAGAATCAGAATGATTTATTTGTTGCTCAAACTTAAGTGACTGGACCAAGAGCTGGAAGTTTTAATCTGGTTTCTAATCAGAGTATTTTAGTAGCAAAGTACCTTCTAAAGAGCTGCCAGGTCATTTCTCTGTAAAACAGAGACTGTGGATAGAAGAGCCTTAATGAATTTAATGGAAAAAACCCTCCTGTTATTCTAACAAGCTTCTCTTTAAGAAGTGGTGATGAGACAGAATATTTCATCTAAATGTCCTGCCATATATCTGAAAATCTTCCATGGTGGAACATGGAAAGGTAACTTGTTTTTCAAATCTACTACCTTAAGTTGTAAAACTGATAGAGATACTTTTCTCTAATTGCTGCACAGCAATTCTGGACTGTTCGTAATTTCTTGATATTGCAAAGTCTGAACACTTTAATAAGCAGGTAATTAAGGGTGGTGCTTTTACTGGTTAGTATGTGTTCTTGTTCAGTGCTTAGGGAGGTAGTGAAGAATAAATACTTAAGAATACTACTACTAGTAGTAAAGAATACTTAAGGGCTTGGGTCTTCTCCCATCTTCTGCAGTTGAAAAGGAGGGAGTGTTACTGGGTATGGGGAAACCCATTGCAGGACCCCTTCCTGACTAAAAGCAAGCACCTCCATGTCTAAAATAAAACCTTTAACATACTTTCCCCTAGGATTTGTGTCTCATTGCAGTTTCTGAGCACCCCCTGATGAAGGTTTGCAGTAAGTATATCATGTGCGTATGAGCTGCCCTAGGTTTAGTGATTGTCGCTTTGAATGTGCAGGAAGGAGCTGTTGCTCCCACGATAAGGTGAGACGAGTCAAAAAGAGTGTATTAGATATGAAGAAAGAAACAAGTATAACTAGGACATGGTAACAGTTTATATAGGACCCATGATTTGGCAGAATCCATGGCAATTTTCCTGCTGCTCTCTGGATTTGAGGGAAGCATTCACAGGAGGACTGTTACTCTCCTTAGAGGCCTAGAGAAGCCCTTTGATGTTTTTTATTATCAATAAAATGCAGAAGCAGAAATTCCTGGGGTAAGAAGGTGGCTGTTTAGAAGATGAAGTGAAAATAAAATAATTGAATGTCACTTCTGGTACCATAGTGGCACCTTGATCTGCAAATCACTGGAGCCATGGAGAGCACACCAGCAGTGTATTTTGCCATGTTCTTACGCTATTTCTTAGGCTACGAGCAGCTGAGACAGACAGGATACAGACTTAGCCAAACCCTTAATTTGACCTCACACTTGTTTGCCACTTTATTTTCTTTTCAACCACATAATAGCTTGGACCTTCAAAAATGTCACGTAGATCAGCTTTAGCATTGCTAGTAGAAGAAAGGCTAGTGGTATTACTTAGCAGTCATTGCCAACGTGTGATTTCCACATTTCCAGCATTACCTGGAAACAAAATAGAGCTTAAAGCAGTAATGGATGTGCATGCTGTGAAGATATTTGTATGGATAATAAAGTTTTGCATTTTTTGTACTGCTGCCATTCAAACATTTAGTAAAATCACTCAACAAATGCTAATGAATTTGTTCCCACAACAGAAGCACAGACATGACAGCCAATATTTTTCAATTTTAAGTATCTAAAATTAGACACCAAAGTGTTTTTAGAGCCTGTAATGAAAATGATTGAGTTTTTATAACTGTGGAATACTTATTGCTCTCTGCAAGTGGCTTCATTACTCATACAAAACATAAACACTTGTGAAGACACACGATTTGTCCTACCAGTGTGAAAAAAAGGCCTTGTTCTATTAAAATTAATTGTCAAGCTCTCATTCATGTTGAGGGAGTTGGTATTTTGTTCTTTGGTTCTGGCATGGCAGCAGCTGATGCTGTGTCACTGAAGCTGCAGAGAGTTTTTAAACTGAATTCAGTGAGAGTTTTGCGACTGATCTCTGAGGGTTGGACCATTACTGGTTAACTGCTCTGGTAATTGTATATATGCTTATTTACAGCATATCAGTTTTCAGCCCTTGGGCCCACAGAAAGAGGAACAACAGCAACAGCAAAGTTGACCATGCCTTTGGTCAACAGAAAGATGTTGAGATGGACCACAGACTTGTCAAAATACAATAATGCTAGATAAGAATGAAATTAGAAATCAGTTTAAATTCTCATAAGGATATGTAGCAATAGGATATTTTCAGAAAAAGTTGATGCCCGTAATGCTAACAAGCAAAACACTTATGCGAGAGACAGAATGAGAGAGGGAGGAAGGAAGAGAGGAAAGAAAGAGATAGTCTCAAGTCAGCCCTCCTGACCTTATCCTGACAGATAAGGATCTGGTTGTATAAAGAAGAACTTGCCTTTTAAAATTTGACCTTGGGAAAACTGCATGTTTTCTTACTGGTACCTTCTAGAGATATATACGTCTTCAGAGGCATTGGTATTTTTAAAATTACATAATCTAAGGAAAACTAGATTTATCTTGCATCAGAACCTTTTAATTTTTGCCCTCCTGAGGCCATTGGTTTGAATGTTTATTGGATTTTTGGCCCATCTTGTTCACACTCCTTATGAATCTCAACCTTTTGGATAACTCTGATGGATGCGGATTTCTCCCCAGACTGAACTGACCTGGGCATGCACCATGCACAACAGCACTGCCCAAACTCCACATGCGGCTGGGACGTGTAACGAGACTCTGTCCACACAGCCCCCGAGCTCCGAGCTCTCAGTGGGCGTGCTGGTGCTGCTGGCATTCCTCATGGTGCTGCTGGCTCTGGTCACCATCCTGGGAAACGCCCTGGTGATCCTGGCTTTCATCATGGACAGAAACCTCAGGCATCGCAGTAACTACTACTTTCTCAACCTCGCTATTTCTGACTTTGCCGTGGGTAAGTAGCAGCCGTGGAGGCACGTATTGTTTCCTGGGAATGTTAGGAGAAGAACTGGGGCTTCTTCTGCTGTGTGGTTTCTTCTAAGAGAATTATTTCCCAGCTGTGTGTCTAGGGGAAGGGTAAGGAACAGTAAAAGCTGCATTAAATGTTTTAGCAGCCTATTATTTTTCAGAAAAAAATGAATCCTTTGTCAGCTAAACAGGTAATGTGTAATGTTTTTGCTTCAGGAAAAAGTACTACTGTGTGTGAATCAATGTGGAATAACAAAGGATGGGAGTTGTTTGTTGTCTAGTCTTGACTAGAGTCTAGATAGTCAAATTGAATGCAGCATGTATTATCTGGCAGATCTTGCACACATGGTTGATACCTTCCATTTCAATCTACTCACACAAAGCAGATAATTACCTGAAATTTGCAGCTAAATATTGATAAATAATATTTTTAAACATTTTGTTGTGCATGCTGTATCTAGAGCCATACCTTAACAATATATGTCTTTACAGGTAAATAATAAATATCAAATCATACAATTTCTAAGAAGTTTGATGTCATACATATATATTTATACATAGGGATGTATTGTATTTTGAAACTTGTACTGAGAAGTACAATTAAAATGCCAGTGTGATGTTCAGTTGGATATTGATGTATTGCAATATTCTGTGAAGTGTTGAGTGTCTCTGGTAAAAGTCTTGGTTAAATTATTGAGTACATAGATGGTTTTAAACAGGTGTAGCTATTTAAAGAAATCTAGATTCTGACTTGTCTCATCAAAACAAAATCTTTTAAAACTGTTTTTATGCTACCTTTTTTTTTTACCTACACATTTAGAAAGGATACTGAAAGAACAGAAGAAACTATTCTTAAAATTTATTGCCAGAATCAGAAGTTCTTTTAAGGGCATGGCTTCTAGTAGTCTGGTCCTTGTGATGTCCAGATCTACTTGTATAATGTTTTCATTCCTTCTCCCATATGCTTGATGTCTTTTTCCAGCTTGTAACTGCTTTGCTGTACTGCAGAGCTCTTGCTGCCGGCTCTCTGGCTGTGCTACACAGGAAAAAAAATCCAGCAGTGAACAGAAAAGCAGTGGACAGAGTGGTGTTCTGCCATCTGGCTCACAATCTAACACCATGTTGAACAAATACCAGCATCTAGCTGAGAAGTATGAAGTAAATAATGTCCTCTATCAAAGAAGGAAGTTGAGCTTACTTGGCATTACCTAACTTCCACAAATTTTTGTTTTGCGATATTATATTTTCCTGAATGTCTAGTTTTTTGAATTCTAAATTTGGGTAAAAGCCTTGCATACGTTAAAGTCAAACTTAATTGTATTTCTGTAGCTACGTAATTTAGATTTAGGGTATACCAAAATTATCCTCAATTTCTGCTTGATCCTAATTGCTAAAAGCACACACTTTCATGCTTGTAGAGCCTTTTGCTTATTATTTTAATTTATTTAATCAGTCTGATTCTGATCTGCAACAACTTTTGTTTTATCTCTGTGCTCACAGTAATTGTAAGATTTTTAGGGAAGTGGAAATTCTCAAGATACTCTTCAGTACCTGTTACAGGAGTACACACTATGATGAAGCAAATCTAAAGTTGAAATAATACCCTTTTTTCCTTCCTGTGAATGTTAAAATCTGTAACATAAACTTTTGCTTGAAAAAGCAAGTGTTAGTTGCTCTGTAGATGAAGTGATTCCATTTCGTTACAGCACTGATGCTGTTCACTGCATTTCTGCATCAGAGCAAACAACACTTAGCACTTCAGCCTCACAAGGCAGCATTGTGGCTGTGTGTGTAGCGTAATCACCTAGAAATTAATTAAAATGAGATCATATTGGCACTTTCACAACATTTGGATTTAACAGCCTAAATTTAGATAGCCATGGGTGCAGGTCACTCATGTATGTTCTCACCGCTTGATGTGTTCCCATAGATAACACCCTATTGGCTCACCGCTGAAAAGTGGTTGTGATCAAAGAGTTATGCTGAGAAGAAATAATAGACTGGATGTACTTAATTAACTGTGCAGCTTTTGTTAGACTTTTGATAATATAGTTTTAAAGGTTAGTCTGAAATTCATATTGTATTTCTATAAAATTTACCTCTGGAGCTATTTTGGACACCACATCATGCTTTTAAGAGGATAGAATTATGACAATTTCGTAATATATTGAAGAAAACAGTAAATTACATTGGGGAGAAGATGATCTTTCTTTCTTTTAATTTCAGTAGTCAATGCAGAATAGTGTTTACTTCAGCAGGTAAAAAAGTCAGCTGTTCCTTCCTTTAGTAGGTGATGTAAACAGGAGAATTTATAATGATACACAACAAATGCAATACGCCTTTCAGAAATGTATTCATTACAAGAATACTACTGGGGCCTAGTTTGTAGTAAAGTGTTCATTGGTTGCATGTGAACACGAAGTCCTCCACATGGCAATTGCAGTCAGTGTTGTGCTTTTATCAGATACTGCAGAAATGCTTCTGTGCTTTCATGAGCAGTGCTGACTGACATGTACATTTGGTTTGCTTCCATAGGTGTGTTCTGTATTCCTTTGTACATCCCTTATGCCCTGACAGGGATGTGGCACTTGGGAAGAGGTGTCTGCAAGATCTGGCTGGCTATGGACTATCTTCTGTGCGCAGCTTCAGTGTTTAGCATCGTCCTTATCAGCTATGACCGTTTCCTGTCAGTTACAAAAGCTGTAAGAAAAACATTTATAATTATTTCTTTATATATATTGATATTTCTATAAAATTCAGAGTACTCATAATTAACAATAGAAGCTAAATAGTCCTTCATTATTGTACCTTTTTTTTTGAAAAATGCTTCAGTGTCACATTGGGACTTAGAGATAGGACAATGCCTTGCCTATGATTTCAATGTTTCCCTCCTGCCACCTGGATTAGAAATTATTTAATTACCCTACAGAGAAGTTGGGAAGGTCAAGGTAGGACAGAGGCAGCAGGAGTATGGGGAACTTGGACTTTGATCATTATAAAAGTGGAAATGGTCGAGTCAAGGATGTGCTTTGGCTTTGGATAAATTGTAAGAGGTGTTTCTTGAGTATTTTCATTCTTCTGCTTCAGAAGATATCTGAGGAATCCAGTGGTAAATATTATCATTCACCATTTCTAAAGGTTAGTCCAGATGGAAGACAATCAACATTCTTGGCTTTTGATGAGTCTGCTAGGTCGAGTGACATGGGCTGTGATAATTTGGGAGGTTCTCTTTGGGAAGTGCTGAAACGATGCCTAATCGCTTTCTCTTCTCCTCCAGTGCTGTAGTTTTAGAGTTGGTTGTTGCTGCTTGTTTTTTAAAGCTGAACAATAAAGTATGAAAATTCTTGTATTTAAGTAATAGTAATATTGAAAAATATTAATGTAGTTGCAGAGCTCAGAGTGTAATAAATGTAAATTTAAAAGGCCTCTGCAACCCAACTGAGCTTCAAGTTCTTTTGCACTGTTGATGGTCCTCATTTACATGATCATATTCTGGTTTTCTTCTTTAGGTAATTAGGATAGAGTAAGTCCAGGAGAGTGTAACATAGGGCTGTTATCCAAATAAAAAACCCCCATGCTTCCTCATGGGCTTGGAATCCACCTCTATCTGCTGCAAACCTAGATTGTGGCCAGGGGGCAGTCTTTTCAGATTTAACTTTTTGTGAAGCTGTGCTGCACTTCCTGTTTTCTGCCTACTAAACTGAGATGGTTGTGGTCTTGCAAAGGGCTGTAAATTCATTATTGCAGAACTGGAGCTGTGCTCTGAGCTGCTACAATGCTTTTAGAAGTAGAGAAGTCTGAATCTTCAGGCTACAGATGTCTAAAACAGAGAATCTGAAATAATGTGTGTAACACTGCACTACTGCTCTGTTACTCACTGGTGAAATAGGGACGATGCCCCTTGTGTTGTATGTGGCTGTGAAGATGTCGCTCATTCATGTTTGTGCAGCATGCAGGTGGTACTCTAATGAGCAGCATAGGAAGCTGATAAGAAAGGTAGTAGTTCTGGAAATGAGTAAAGCCTGGGATGAGAAATGTTGAATGCTATGGAGGAAATAAAATAGTCCAGCTTCTCATCAACTGATCCTTTTGTGCTCTGAAAGATGCAGGGGACCAAGATCTGGAAGTATGTATTCCACATACTGGCTGGGCTACTATGATTTTAACTCTCATATTTCCAAACTTTGGATGGTGTGATTTAAATTCTTAATATTTTTTTTTCAAAGGTAGATATTTATGGCTAGGGAGTAAAATAAATGAATGGAGTCTGGGTAGACATAAACCCATCAAGATTCGCAGTAATGCAATGAGCTGTTTACATGGTAAAGTGAGTGGTAAAACAGAATGTTTCAATAAAGTAAGGGATGTTAAAGCCTATGTGTGGGATAGATTTTTTTCTGCTATGACAAGAGGAAACAGTATTAAAAATTACGTTGTCCAATGTTTGCAGTCTCACATGGCAACCTGTCTAATATAGAAGGCTTCTACTTTAGCCTGTGCAGGAAGGAAGTCCCACGGCTGCTTTCACTCTCCTCTGAGCCTGGGCAATTTTAATGAATTGTAAATTAGTTCCTTATTGCTATCTTACTGTGGTGGTGATGATAACAAGCCATGTACTTTCTCACCTGGAAGCCAAATGGTACTTTAGCCATCATAATTTCTGCTTTTCTCGAATTTCAAGTTTAAAATTGATCACAGAGCTACAGTATTTGTTGAGCAAGACTAACAGTTTTTCATTACTTACAAAAGTGAAGATGTTTTAGGTGTCAGGGGAATTACAGAATAAATATTGTATTTGACTAGCTTGCTTATGTTTTTTCAAGATGGTTGTTCCAAAATGTTATCTGAATATGTGACATATCCTTTTCTCTCCCAGGTATCTTACAGAGCCCAGCAGGGAATAATGTCCAACCCTGTCATCAGCATGGTGGTCATATGGGTCCTTGCTTTCCTCCTCTACTGCCCAGCAATCCTCTTTTGGGAGCACGTGGCTGGACAAAGCGTGGTAGCAGCAGATCAGTGCTACGCCGAGTTCTTTGACAACTGGTACTTCCTCCTGTGCGCATCCACCCTGGAGTTCTTTGTGCCGCTGCTCTCGGTGACCTACTTCAACGTGCACATCTTCCACAACATCCAGAGGCGCCAGCGGCGTGGCAGCACGCAGGACTGTGAGCCTCCAAGGAGAGGCAGCTTATCCTGGAGATTTTGCCTCTTGCCAAGGCCAGGAGCATCTTCTCTTCCATCAGAAGCAGAGGACAGTGTTTCATCATTAACGAGGTCATGGAAACCAGCAGTGATGGCTAACTGCCCATCTCCGACACCAACCAGTCCCACGCCTCTTAAAAGGGACTTTTCTGTTTCTTTCTCTTCAAAGACTGGGTCAAAACTCCAGCGGGACAAGAAGATAGCGAAGTCACTTGCCATAATTGTCTGTGTGTTTGCCATTTGCTGGGCCCCGTACACTTTGCTAATGATTATTCGTGGGGCCTGCCAAGGAACCTGTGTCCATAACTCCTTGTATGAAATAACCTTTTGGCTTCTGTGGATCAATTCCTCTTTGAACCCATTTCTTTACCCTCTCTGTCATATGAGGTTTCGAATGGCTTTCATGAAAATATTATGTCCACAGAAGTTTGCAACACTGAGATCACATAACCCACCTTCTTTATAGAGAGTTAATATAAATGACTAACAGATAAGGTTCCTTTGCTATTTAGTGCTATTTTTTCATATGTATTTTCAACAGAAATAGAGAAAAAACTTTTCTTTACTAATGGCATTGCTTAGGAGTGCAGCAGAGGTATGTATTTGCCTTGACTGTGTAAGTTTTCAGGATTTTGTGGTTTGTTTCTTTGTTTTTATTTTTGTTTTCTGGTATGACGCCAGGTTAAACACCATCTAGTGCATTGAAAATAATAACAAGGTTTGCTGGGTGTACGTCTTGGTTTGTTGGCTCGAGGTACTTTTTTTTTCTTTTTTCGTCTTTTTTTTTCTATATAGAGCCTGTACTATGAAAGAACTCTTCTATAGATACCTTCATAGAGGTTCATTGGAGGATGATACCTTTTTGTGTATATGTTGAGTTAAAATTTATGCCCTATTTGTGAACTTAAAGCTATCAGTGAAGATGAAGTTCTGCTACGTTTTCGAAAGGTTGTATCAATACTCACAGGAGCGGTATTAATTTCGTTTTACAAACTATTAGGAAGACAAAAGAGTACCCTGTAGTTGTCGTAATTCTCACAGCGAGCAATATGCAAGTGAATGGGCTGCCTAATCTGGCATATCTGTCCTTTTCCAATTTTAATGTAGTCCATACCTGGTGTTGCAGGCCACAGTACACACAAGTTAGTAATTTGGAATGATTTGCAGAGAGTGAAAGTTTCCACGATAATAGAATTTTAAGATTGGTTAACAAAATTGTCACAAGCATAAATGGTTGTTACTCTTTTCACCAGTACTGTCTTTTCTCCTAACAGTGACTGCCTTTTTGGTAAGACAGGCCAGGCTTGGGCACATGATGACATTCCTGTTGAATTAGCAGAGCAAGCAATACAAGGTTCATGCTGGATCTATGGTTTTGGCTGGCTGTGCGAGAATAGACAATACCCTCTCGGGTGTGAAGCTTTGTGAGTGCAGAGATATTTCGGAAAAACGTCTGGAACAAATTTGAACTGACAGAGTGATTTTTATACTAGATCAGTTCTTTGTGTCCTGCTCTTGTGACATTATATGGATTTTCTCTGCTGCTGAACCAGCATCTAACTGGATTTTTTCTATCACTGAATGTGGGTCGTATTCACTGCTTGAGAATGAGAATCACAGAGGTCTAAAAGCTGACACAGAGGTGTCTTAAGCAGCTGTTAGTAAACAAAGCAGTTGAATATGCGGTGCTGAAAGGAGTGAGTAGATATGTTGGAGAAGGTGATGGAGTTTCATTATAACCCATTCTGTGTGCCAAACCTTCTTTCTTTGTGTAGAGTGTTGCAACTCACCCAGAAGGCTTTAATGGATGGGTAAGTGAGAGTCATTGGTTAATTATTTTTCCTCTCCTTTTATATCGTTTTCTTTCCTTTTTGTAAATATATATGTATATAAGTGTGTAAAATATGGAAAGAGAAATGTGATGCACAGAACAATGAAGAGCAATTGTCAACTTAAATAGTATTTTTTATCTAACTTGAAGTTGGCTGTAGAAGAGTTGCGAAAGCAGAGTACTCCTTTCTTAGCACAATTCAAATGCATGTAAGCAGCTTAATCATAGCACAAAAACTGATGGTTTTGAGAAGCTAAAATTCTATTATGTTCAGAGGGCTGGAACTGCAGACTTGTTTTGCCAGTTTTCGCATTGGTGGAACATTATCTTTCAGCTCTCAGTCTTTTTATGCTTCCTTGCCTCACATGGATAGAGTTACGGATTGTGAGCCCGATTGGTGAGAGAGATACAGCTTCAGGAGGAGGTCATTGATTCAGCACAGATGTTTTCACAGTCATGAGCTAAGGTGCTGGTATAGATTTTGTGGGGTTTATTTTTCTGTGAGGCTTAAAAAACCCCACACACATATTTAAGAGGTTTATAGAATAGCTGGTATACTAAATAAACATCTGTTAAACAGGGAAACTGTAGGTAGGCCCAAAATGGGAAAGTATTCGAATTATATGCTTTTCTATCCCTATATTTTTGGTATAAAAATTGCGTTTTGTAATTAAAGAATGTGTTTTTTGCTTTTGAAAAATGGCCTACAAAGTTACTGACTATGTAAACTTTATCCACATTTTGCAGTACTGGAAAACCAGAGTTTGTCAGGGACCAAAATGCGCAGTAAATCTGAAACCACATAGAGTAGTGAAGCTACTAGAGATCAATGTTTTTTTATGTTCTATATTACACACACAATGTTCAGACTGTTTTGTTGCATTACTCTTGTAATTTTAAATAATTGCTTGTATTTTTCTAATTGTTGAAAATTTTGTTTAGTGCTCCCAGGGTAACTCAAGCATTTAGTCACTGTGCTCACACCATTAGAGTTGCCTTTGTCAAGGTGCCATCCTAAGTCCTCTCCTTGCCATCAGACTTCTTGCAAGGTTATGGTAGGATACTTATTCAGCATTTGCTCTTGGGTGTACTTTTCATGCACTGACACAAATGGACTTTTCTTGCTGAAGTGATTCTTCGGAAGTTATTTCTAAGCCAAGTCTCTCTGTTATGAATGAGTCTCACTCACTCATTCATTTCACCATTTAATGGCCTTGAATTTTCTTCTGTCTTTGCAGGTGTCCAATAGGTCTTGTAAATACATAGTGACAGACATATGACTCTGTGAGTTTCAACTCAAATTAAAACAGTGTTTTTCTAACTTGATTGTCTCAGGTCTTAAAAAAACCCCACCCCAAATAAAACATACATGTTGAAAGATATTGTGTTCTTTTGTTTGTCTGTTTGTATAGTTTGGGACAAGTACTTAATCCTAATGATTCTCTTAATGTCTGTCACCTTTATATTTTAGGCTATGATTTTCTGCCACAGGAAGGAAGATCACAAAGATTTCTCCCTCAGCCCAATGAAGGATTATTATTAAAACTTCAACATTTGATTTATTCCCTAATTTTTAAAAGCAAATGACCAGTCTCCCCTTGTCCACTAATGTAATAATTTTATCAAAGCAGACAACCAAGTTGCTCAGGCATGATTCACCTTTTGTAAACCCATGCTGACTGTTCCCAGTCACCTTTTCCTCTCTCAAGTTCTCAGAAGTGTCTTCCAAGAGGACTTGCTTCATTATTTTCCCAGAGACCAAAAAGAAGCTGACCTTTTGTCCTTGTGGTGTCATTTGAAGATGGTTGCAACATTAGCCTTTCTGCAGTTGTTGGGAACCTCCCTTCATCTCCACGGGCTTTCAAAAAGGTTAGAAAGTGGCCTTGCAAGGATGGTAGCTGGTTCTTTCAGCAGCCTTGGATGCAGCCCATTGGGTCCCATGGACTCTTACAGGTCAAGTCCTTTCAAGTAGTCAAGGACAATAAGTCCTTGTCTTATTCTCACCTGCTGCTGACAGGGCTATTCTTTGAAGTGATTCACTAAGCATGGAGGAGAGGGAGATGTAATTAGTGAAGAATGAAGCAAAGAAAGCATTTGGCATCTCAGGCGTATCCACCTCTGCTGTTACTGGATCACTCTCCCCGGATCACTGTCCTCAGTCAGCAAAGTACCTACATTTTTCTTATCCATCATCTTGCTGTTAATGGCCTGGCTGGAGTTCTTCATATTGTCCTTGATGTCCTTTACAAGCATCAACTCTAGGTGAGCTTTTGTTTTGCTAACATCATGCTTAGATGGCCAAGCACCGTTCCTAAATTCCTCCTTTGTAGCCTGTTGCTGCTTCAAACTCCTCCATGGTGCCTTCTTTCACAGTAGCTTCCCTGATTACCCACTGTCCTTATACATCTACTTGTTTTCTTGAAAATTGGGATGGGCTTTTCTTGTGCATGAAGGCTACTGTCCTTAGAGGCCTGCAGGCTCCCTCAGCTCCCTTGCACCTCAGAGCTGCCTCCCATGGGATCTCACCTACCACTTTCCTGAATAAACTGAAGTCTGCTCACCTGAAGTCCATGGTTTGTACTGCTACTTACCTTCCTCATTCCCTTTAGGATCCTGAACTCCACTAACCCATGGACACTACGGCCAAGGCTGCAATTGATTACACATCCCTAACCAGCTCCTCTTTACCAGTGCACAGCTGGTCCACCTGTGTGCCACCCCCACTGGCCCAGTTGGTACTTGTACCAGAAAGCTCTCCCTGACACCCTCCAGTAATCTTGCTGACTACTTGTACCTGCTGTGTTGCCCTTCCACCAGATGTCATGAACATTAAAGTCCTACACAAGAAACAGGGTCTGTGAGCCAGAGGCTTCTTTGATTTGCTTAAAGAAGACTTCATCACTTCCCTCACCTTAATTGGGGTGTGCTGCAACACACTCCTACCACTATGTCACCAGTGTCACTGGCTTTGTGTCTGGTGGCTTTGTGACTGCACAGGGAGCTCTAGTTCCTCCGGTGCATTTCTTAGGTGGCATTTGTGCACATGCATCTGAGGCAGGTGTTTGTATGCTGTGTTTTATCACTCTTGAGGTCTTTTATGTTCCTGTTGCCCTACATCTTTAGCTTTAATTACTCTTTACATTTCCCTTCATTCCCCAAGAAAGGATCAGAGCACCACACCTCTTCTCCTCACATCTTGTCCACCCTTTCTTTCCTTGTTTCTTGCCCTATGTCTTCTCAACCACCCAGCATTACGGCTGCAGTTCAAAAAGCCCATCACAGGGTGTGCCATGGTGCTACGGAGCTGGTGAGCTGCAGGCGTGAGTCACAGCCACAGACGGACAACTTCTGTGCACTCTTACCAAAATAAATGAAACTGTGGTGAGGAAGGGGTATGCCTTCTCAAAGCAGCAAAGGTCTAAGGGTTTGGCACTTTGCGGAGTGGAAGCTTACTTGGAATTACCTGGGAAGTGGACGATTAGATGAGGCATACTTAAAAGATCCTCCGAAGTCCAGGTATGTGGCTTGCTGTGCCCAGGGCTAGACTTGCTTCTGATAAGGATGAGCTGAAAAGATATTGGTGATGCTACTGCTGTACATAACTAAATTTTAAATGCTCTTTAACCAGCAGCATT